TTGAAAATATTTTTCTCCTAGTCTCTTTGGTTTGTCCTTTATTCTCTTGCCGTGTCTTTTGCAGAACAGAAAAATCTAATTTTAATGAAGTCTAGCTTATGAATTCTTTCCTTCATGGCTCATGCCTTTGGCGTTGTATCTGACAAGTCATCACCAAACCCAAGGCCATTTAGATCTCCTCTCTTATTATCTTCTAGGAGTTTTGTAGTCTTGTATTTTCCATTTAGGTCTGTGATCCATTTTGAGTTAATTTTTGGGAAGGGTGTAAAGAACGGATTTTTTTGTTTTTGTTTTTGTTTTCTGCATGTGGCTCTCCACTTGTTCACGTGCCACTCGTTGGAAAGACTACCTCTGCTCCATTGTATTGCCTTTGCTCCTTGTCAGCTGACTGCATCTACGTGATTTTATTTCTGGGCTCTCTAGTCTGTTGCATTGCTCCACTTGTTTAGGCTTTTGCCAATACCGTGCTGTCGTGATTACGATAGCTTCATGGTAAATCTTGAAGTTGGGTAGTGTCAGTCCTTCAACTCTGTTCTTCTTCAATGTTGTGTTGGTTATTCCATGTCCTTTGCCTCTTCCTACACACTTAAGAATCAGTTTCTTGACCCCCCACAGAAAACTTGCTATAATTTTTATTGGGATGCATTGAATCCATAGATCAAGTCAGGAAGAGGTGATATCTGATGATACTGAGACCTACTGTGTGCTCAGCCCTAACCTTAGGAGGTAGGAAACTGGGATGCACAAAAGCACAGGAGCGGCTCCCCCATGGTGCTGGCAAGGAAGCTGCACCCCACACAGTGCCGGGCATATAGGTAGTGCTCAATAAATGGTCACAGGGTCAATAAGAGATGCTGAATTCCAAAGTGCCTGGGCCATGTGGTGCCCATTTCATGCTAAGATGGTAGCACAGACTCCGTTCCAAGGGAAGGCCTGGCCTCAGGGAAAACTTTGTGAGAAAGACATTGTTGAGAAGGGAACAGGCCAGGTGGGCTGGTCTGAGCAAGTCTTCTAGCTGACAGGGTGGCTGTACTAATAGGAGAATTTCCTGATTTATTGATTCATTGATTCACTGAACAAATATTTATTGAGTATCTATTATGTATTAGGCACTCAGAGATCTCCCCCTCTAACATGTCCAGCCACCTCTAACATGTCTAACAGTCAGGCAGGACAACCTGTATAGATTTTCTGATGGCCTGATAACTATGGACTGGGCCTTGGGGGATGGTGGGGGGCCCTGTCTCCCAGCCTCGGGATGGTTGTGGTTTTTTCCTATCTTAAGGTTAGTTTCTTTTTCTTTCTTTCTTTTTTTTTTTTAAGATTTTATTTACTTATTTGACAGACAGAGATCACAAGTAGGCAGAGAGGCAGGTGGAGAGAGAGGAGGAAGCAGGCTCCCTGCTGAGCAGAGAGCCCGATGCGGGGCTCGATCCCAGGACCCTGAGACCATGACCTGAGCCGAAGGCAGAGGCTTTAACCCACTGAACCACCCAGGCGCCCTTAAGGTTAGTTTCTTGACAGGGAGGAAGGTATCATGGTATGGACTAGGGTGGTCTCAAGTTGCAGGGAGCCCGGCTTGGCTTCGATGAACCCCACTCTTGTCTGCCTGGTACGACCCCTCCCTGTGGCTGGTTCTGGGCCCAGCATCCAGGTGCTCAGGGAGGGACTTGTTACTTTGTCCAGTATTTTATTATTTATCAATGTGGAGACTCTTCAAGACTTGAACTGAAATTGGGAGCCTTGGAGAGTGAGAGAGAAGGGGAAGAGGGAGGGGAACCAGCAGGAGGAGACAGACAGGGAACAAAAAGAGAAGAGAGACAGCCGGGAGAGAAAGTGACAAGAAGCAGAGAATGGCAGGCAGAAGGGGACAAAGACAAAGGGAGGGAGGGAAAGAGGGAGAGACAGAGAGAGAGGGAGAAAGGAGTCAGCCTTAAGGGAGAGAAACAGGGGCTAGAGCTGCCGTCGAAGGACCCCCAGTTCTGCCGGAGATCCTTGCTTGGGCTCCCCCCTCTCCTACGCACTGGTGTGAGCACTCACAGCACCCACTTGTGCACGCACCAGCACACACAGGTACATACATGCAAACACATGTGCACCGACACCCATCCCCTTGGGCACTGCCTTCGGAATCCATACCACTGGGGAGGCGGGGTTGCCACGGTGACAGGTACCAGAGCCCCACCTCACGGGTATTAATAGCTTCTACTGAAGTCACCAAAACAGTGATTTCATCCAGCCTTGTCTCCCCGGAATCTTCCTCCTCCCTCCTACCTACCAGGATGGGGCTAGACAGGACCCATGGGGCCACACACGCCATTTCCCTGCCTCCTGGCAGCTGCCTTGGTGAAGAATGTCCTACACGCCTCGGGGATTCTGCCCCAGTGTCCGGAAGGGGACTGGCAGAGTTCGTTGATCCTTTGAGCTGGGTCTAACCACAGCCCCTGCCAGAAAAGGGTTTCTGAGACACAGGACCCTCCGAGGGCTTAATTCTCAGCTTCTCTGAGTCCCATGCCATCACGACTGCCTTCTCTAGGACCCTGCCTGGCCAGACACTTGCATACAGTTGACACTTGACTGTGGCATCCCTTCCCACAGTACAGAGCTCCCTGGAAGGGCGAGGGCCAGGCCAGGGAGGTGGCTTGGGGTGCAACATTTCAGAGGCACTCCCTCGTGACCCCAAGAGCCAGCACAAGGGTCCCTTATCTTCTCCTGGTTCTGCAGCTGCTCCCATTACCTCCTCAGCCCTCTTGGGGCAGGGGAGGTTTCTTTCCTGCTCTCAGTTCCCTGGGTCTCCGATTCCTCTTACCTTCCCATGAGACTCCCTGGGATCGGGCTGCAGAGCCTGTGGCTGCCTCTGGGCTCCCCTGCCAAGCACTAGTCTCTGGCCCTTACTTCCTCTTCCCTTTGACCTTCTCTGTCTCTCCCCTGCTTTGCCCACAGTCCCAGCTTTAGACTACATGGGGCCTGTGACATCCCTGCTGTCCTCTCCCTTTGGGGCCTCCATCATCCCACCCCCACCCCCTGGTGCCCATGCACCAGCTCTTCCTCCTTGGGGAAGGCAGGGGTGGGACCCCAGGGCAGGCCTGAGCCACGCCCCAGCCGCTCTCTGCAAATCCTCCCAGGAGCCCCGCCCTTCACTCACACTGTGGGGGGGGATCAGTCTGGTCTATACAGGCCTTCAGATTTATTCTGAGGCCAGCAGCAGCTCTCGGTGACCTCACTGCAGCAGACTTCAGGGGTGTGTGTGCGTATGCATGAGAGTATGTGTATGCTAGTGTAGAAATGAGTGTGCGAGAGGGTGGAGAGGTGCGTGTGTCGATGCGTGAGTGTGCTGCCATTCAGAGCCCATGGATTTCTGATGCGTGAGTCACTGGTTGGGAGCCAGCCATGAGAAGATATGCCCATAAATAAGACAGCACCCCTGGCCCCTGTGTCCATTCTGCAGCTGGCTGGGCACATGATCTTGGGCATTTAAGACGTTGGAGGCGGGGGTGGGGGCTGTCTTTCCCTTCAGACCCCACAGAGCAGCTGCCATGGATATTTCTAGCTTGCCTGGAGTCCCAGACATTTATGGATGTGATGCCTGCAATGGGTGGGAGTCAGGGGGCAGGAGATGGACGTAAAGAGCCTCACTCCCAGGGGTCTTAGTGGAGTTCTGCTGGCGGCAGGCAGATTCATCCATTTCACAAGTATTTTTTGATAGTCTGTCATGTGCCAGGTACTCCCAGGGACTCGGGACATCACGGTCAGCAGAGTTGACCTGCCCTCTAGCCTCACAGAGCTTATGTTCTAGTGGGGGAGGCAGAACATAAATAAGAGGGAAAGGCTACTTTCACGCTAATCCCTCCCCCCCAAAAGAACCCCCCAATAATGGTGTGGAAAGTGGCCGAGGTGGTGGGGGTTCTTTAGTTGGGGTGGACAGGGAAGGTCAGGAGGTGACATGTGAACTGTGCCTGAATCATGAGGAGCCATCTCATGGAATCCTGAGGGAAGAACCTTCCCTAAGAGGATGGATGAGATGCTTGTTGTAAGCTCACACCCTCACTGGATTCTGGATCAAAGGTGTTGAAGTCAGTTAGAGAACCAGAGGTGACCTAGAGGAGCAGGAAGTCTGATTGTTTGAGGGGATGGTGGCTCATCTTTTACCCCAGCAGACAGGGAGGAGATAGCCTATGACCACGTAGAAGGAGAATGGCTCCCTTACCCCTTCCTGCAGGCTTCCTGGGAGCAGTACTGAGCTGGAGGATAAGAGAGTCATGAAAATAGGCAACTTGCTGAAGCCCCTTCCTCTAGGAAGCCTTCCATGATTGCTAAGCACCGCAGAGGCTGGGCTCCCCCAAGTCTTACAGCTGTCAGAACCAATGGGTTCAGAGTTGGTGGTTCTCTCATGGTTTGTCGCTGAGATCTGTTCCCCCAGCTGGGCCAGCAACCCAGTCTCCTAGGTCCGGCCCGTATTTACCCCAAGGCCCCCAGTGCGATGTGCGCAGAAACCGGATAGCTGGGCTTCTGGTCCTGAGCCCCTGCCCCAGCGCACCCACAGATGTAACTGCGGGCCGAGGGTCAAGTGCTGGCGTTTCTGACCTCACCTCACTCATCGAATCAACCATTCACTCCTCAAAACAATTTTTTTTTCTTGAGCTTTGCCTGTGGGCCAGGCCCTGAGCTAGCGCTAGGGAGGCTGCGAAGTAGAGCTAACTTGCCCTGCTCCTGGCCCCCAGGGAGCTCACCGTTCTTGCTCTTTCTCTGTTTTCGACACCAAGTCCCACCACCCGTGAGAGGAACGCGCCCAAGTCCCCGGGCCCCGGCATCTGCCTGGCCCCGCACCCCGGCCCGGGCCGGGCCCCCAGCGCCGCAGAGAACTTGTGGCAGCGGGAACGCGGCGCGCCCCGGGGACACATCTGGCTGGGCGGGCGCGCGCGTGTCACTAAGACGCTCATTCACCCGCGCAGCTGTCACCATAACAACCGGAGCCAGGGAATCCTGGCGACGGCGGCGGCCGGGGGGCGGGGGCGGCGGTCGCGGGAGGAAGCCGGCGGGGGCGGGAGCGCCCAGCACGCCCCGCGCGCCACAGAGCCCCGCTCCATGCGGACCCGCCGGCGGGAGGGCGCCACGCACGTCGCCGCAGCGGCCGTCCCCGCGGGCGGGGACCGAGCCCGCCGCCGAGCCGCCGAGCGCTCGCGCCGGGAGCCCTGACTCTATGGCCCGGGGGGAGCTCGCCGGAGTCTCCGCGCCGCCCACCAGCAGCGGGAACCCAAGCGCCAGCCCGAGGAACGGGGGAGCCCCGGGCGCCGCCGCCGGCCCCGGCCCAGGGGCTCGTCCGCGGCCCCCGGCCCCGCCGCGGGGAATGGCAGGCAGGTAGCCGGCTCGCGCGAGGACCCCCGCGGCGGGCAGGAGCTGCCGAGGACGGCGCGGCCCCGAGAGAGGGAGGAGAGCGGCGGCCCGCCCGCCCCCGGCCGCAGCCCCGGCAGAGCCCTCCCCCGGCGGCGCGCGCCCGCGCGCGCACACATTCGCACACAGTACCTCCGCTCCTGCCCGGCCTCTCCTGCCCCCCGCGAGCGCCGAACCCCCTGGGGCCGGATGCCATGGGTAACAACTTCTCCAGTATCCCCTCTCTGCCCCGAGGAAACACGAGCCGGGCGCCGCGGGGCCACCCCCAAACCCTCAAAGGTAAGGAAGGCTCCGCTGGGCCGGGCGCAGCCTGAGGACTGGGGCGCAGGTGGAGGGGCAGGGAGACGGAGCGGTGTAGTTGGGGAGTACGGGCAGGTGCCACCTGTTGTTCGTAATTAGAGACTTGAGGTGCTCTTCTGGCCCTGGAGGTGAGCTAGGGGTAGGGGGCTGCTGATGCTGATGTTGAAAACCGGGAGGATGGCGTTCCGTGGGGTCTGCGCAGTTGTCCCTGCCAGCACTGGGAACGTCACTGGAGTTAACTCAGGCCATGATGCTAGGCTAACGTGCAGGCGTTGGGAAGGGCATTTGCCCAGTGGGTAGGGGAGTGTGGCAGGATGCTTAGGCCGGACAGCTGTGCTTTTCAAGGGCGGCATCTCTGTCTCTTTTTCATCTGCCCAGGGCTGGAGAGGTCATGCTGGAAGCACTAGTTGCATTTCCAATTGGAGGATCTTAAAGATCCAGGACTGACTTATCGAAGCCTGGAAGAAGGGGCCAGAGCTGGTGGCCTCTGGAGTCTTCTGCAGCTGTTGACTTTTTGCATCCACTGACTCAGCTTGCTTTCTGGTTCCTCCAAGGGCCAAATGTCCAGTCAGAACCTTAGAAAGGAAAGGCTGGGAGCCTTGAAAGAGAGGAACATTTGCCAGGAATGTCTTTGCTGTCTAAATCCCTAGACCAACGCGGCACCCCCAGGGAAGCCCTAGGCCCAGTCCTCAGCCCTGCGGCTTCCAGTGCTGTCTCTGACCTTTGTAAGACACACCTGGGTCCTCCCAGACCCTCAGACCCACTAATTCCCTTCAGAAATCTGCTTTTCTGTCACCCTTAGAACCAGCTAGCACGTGTCTTGGGCATTCTGATGACTAAGAGACAGGAAGGGAAGTGCTTGGTCTTTCACAAAGAACCACCCACTTCTTCAGCCCCTTGGGTTGTGAGAAGGATAACAGTCATACCCCTTGACAAAGCGTTAAAGTTTACAAAGAACTTTCACAAACGCCTGAGCGTTTGGAAATTGTTCTGAGTGGTCAGCAAAACCAATCATACCCATTTTACAGTCGAGGAGAACCAATGCTTGTTTTAGGTTCCTGAAGCCAGTGAGGGGCAGAGCTAGGCTGCAGAGCTGTATCTTCTGACTCGGAATTCTGTCCTCTCTTTCGCTGGATAGTTAACTTTCCAGACTGCGAGAGAGGAGGAGAGACAGGACCTCCGTTCTGCATTCTAACTCCAAACCTTTCAGAACTGCTGCTCTCACTGCGTTTGGGAAAATCAGTGGGTTTGTTGTGTCTTTCTGGAAATTAATATGGTGGTACATGTCAATCTTTTTAGAAGAACACATTCATTGGCCTTGTGATCCTCCCCAGAAGAACTGATCCTAGCAAAATGGAGATCCAGGCAAATATTTACGCAGCAGGCTAAGATGTTCATGGCAGTATTATTTATACTAGGAAAATGACCTAAATGCCTTATAATCATGATATATCCTCTTGGTGGAGTATTTTGCAATCTTTAAAATTTGTATTTTTGAAGAATATTTGATGCCTTGGGAAAATGTTCAGTGCAATATAATGGTGGTTGAAAAAAGCAGGATACAAAGTTGTATATGCTGTGAGATCCGAATTTTGTTAAGAAAATACGAATACAAAAGAAAAAGAAAGTTACCAAAAAGTTAATGATGGTTTTTCTTTCGGTAATGGGATCATGTAAGACTTTTTCTTTTCTTTTTTATACTTCACTCTTCTTAAAAATTTCTACAATAAGCAAGTATTTTTTTTATCATCAGAAATAAGCTGTAAGTATTAACATGTATAAAGACTATTTCTGAGTATTGGAAAGACTCCTAATGTTGGAAGAACCAGTGGACATCCTCTTGTGCATTGTCATCCCTCGCAAGCGAGAAGAAGGAAGGGAAGGGAGAGTGATTTGCTCACTTACTCAGTGCATCAGGTGACTAAGTCAGGCTGAACCCTTCAAGGATAGGGTAGCTGGGCCAATGAGTTGACTTGGAGTTTAATTGCTCACAAACTGCCCCAAGAAGGCAGGCCTGCTCCATCCTTGACCCTAGGGAAGCCCAGGAAATGCTTTGGTAATTGCATCCCTTTTTACCTAAAGTGTGGGATTGTGGGGATGTGAAGTCTCTGTGGCTTGGGTCTTCAGCAAGGGAGGGAAGGGGCGGGAAAAAGTCTGGGAGCCTCCCACCTCCCTGCCCCCACCCCAACTTTCTCCTCTGCCTGACTCCCCACCTGTGTGGCCTGGGAAACCCCCCTTGTGCTGCCTCCCTGATTTATAGGGTTGAGTTTCTTCTTCTTGGGGACTACATGGTGGTGAAATTCTCCCCCTGCCTGTCTCCCTCCCTCTGCCCATCTCCTTTCAGGCTTGATTTACCAGAATCCACTCTCTTCTTCCTTCCCACATGCCTACAGGAGGTGGCCATGAGAATTTTGATTCTGCTCCTTCCAAGCCTGAGATGAAGGATTAGAGTGTGCCCATGACAGCCACCTATAGGTACCCTCTGTCCTTTGCCTGGGTTACACTGATCCTGACTTCTCCCCACCCTAATAAAGCCATCAGCTTTATTCTGTGATTGTTTTAGTGTCCATTCCAAATTCCCTTCTAACTGTATCAGCATTGACCTAGTAGTCTTCTCTGATGTATCAGTGGTCATCCAGAATTCCATTCTAATTATATTGGTGTTGACCTCAATACTGGCTGTGATTCTAAGCCTGTCCACCCAGACTTCTATTCATATTGCTTCTGTACTCACCCTGAATCTAGTTCTAATTCATATCAGTGTCTGTCTTAAAAATTTGCTGGGGGTGGGGAACTCTCGATTTTTTCTCTCCTTCTATAATTGCAATCTCTATTGACTTCTCACCATTTTAATTAAAGCAACTGGAAGAGGTCTGGCATAATAGGGACCCTGGGACACACTGGAGATCTATGATTGGTCTAGTTGTCAGGCTGACATGAAATGAGGCTTGTCCATTACCTTTCAGGTTATAGGCTTTGGTATTCTCCCTGGAGACACACTGACTTCACTGCTGGTGATTCCCACTGGAGTCTGAACAGTGTTGGTCTAGGAGGGTCCAGGGGAGAGATCCAAGGCATAGGTCTGGGCTTAGGACCAACAGAAAGTTATGAGGAGTTGCTGTGTGCCTGGACTAGAGGTGAGGTCTTCTGACATCCCTGTATATTCACAGGCTGAAGATCTATTTTGAAAAGGCAGGGCAGCTTTGAGCTGGTCATGGAGGGAACTGCAGAAATTTGATAGATGACAAGGGGTGCAGCAGGTGTGCTAGGTTATGGGGATGAGAGGGGGAAGGGACATACAACAGAGGCTTGGAGGTGGGAATCGGTAACTGTGTGTATATATTCTCAGTGAGGGGCACAGGGTAACTGGGGCAAGGGGCACTTGCTTCATGGAGACAAATACAGAGAATAAAGAACTTTCTCCTTTCCCAGCTCTCTCTGAGTGCCTGTCTGCTTGTTGCTAAGTGTTGAGGGAAAGGTAACTGAAAACCTTGTGGAGGACTATCCAGCCCCAGTGGTCACCTATAGATGAGGATTGGATGGGCCACCTCCCATCATTTTAAAAATTGTAGTGAAATTTACATGAAATCCACCATTTTAACATTAAAAAAAATTTTTTTTAAATTTTATTTTTTATAAACATATAATATATTTTTATCCCCAGGGGTACAGGTCTGTGAATCTCCAGGTTTACACACTTCACAGCACTCACCATAGCACATACCCTCCCCAATGTCCATAACCCCACCCCCCCAACCCCCCTCCCCTCATCAACCCTCAGTTTGTTTTGTGAGATTGAGAGTCACTTATGGTTTGTCTCCCTCCATTTTAACATTTTATTTATTTTTTATTTTATTTATTTTAGAGAGACAGAGAGGGAGGGAGAGAGAGTGGGAAGAAGGGACAGAGGGAGAGAATCCTCGAGCGGATTTCCTACTGAGCATGGAACCCAACATGGGGGTCAGTCCCATGACCCATGAGATCATGACCTGAGCCAAAACCTAGAGTCAGGCACTTAACCAACTGAGCCACCTAGGTGCTCTCATTTTAACATTTTAAACTGTACAGTCTAGTGACATTTAGTGCATTCACGGTGTTGTCCAACCATCACCTCTATCAAGTTCCTGAATGTTTTCATCACCTCAAAAGGAAAGCCTGTACCCAGTAAGCAGTCATTCTCCATTACCTCCTCCCCTGAATCCTTGGCAAAGAATGTTGTCCAGGATCACTGACCTAGGAAGTGGTGAAACTGGGACTTCTACACAGAACACCAGAGCCCATGGGGAATAAACTTGGTCTTGGGGGAATTTTTGCACATTAGGCTTTCTTTTCCCTGACCCTCTGGGATGAGATGTGCTCACTTCCAAGATATGCACTTTGAGGGTCTGGCATCTGCTCTCAATCACAGAGGCCAACATGGAGGCCAGACAGGCAAGAGCAAGGGGGAGGAAGGGGTGAGGGAAGGAGGGCAGGAGCTGGGCACTGCCCAGGGGATGCCATGGATGCCTCTATCCTGGTGTGCCAGCTGCCTAGGCCTATTTCTTGTTGGTCTCTGACTCTCCCAAGGGCTAGAGGCTTAGGGGCTGCTTCTCACTGAACTGGTTGCTCTGGCAACCCTGGGCAGGATGCGAGTGGTCTCCTTGGTAACGCCTGGGAAACCTGCCTGTGGGGATGGAGGGAAGTGGACTGGCCAGTGGTCAAGCAGGGTGGCACATTCAGAGCTGGGCTAAGCTCCTGAGCTCAGAGGCCTTTGGGGAGGGCCAAGCTTATGGAATAGCCTGGGTTGCCTGTTGGCCATTGCCCAGGAAGCCAGAATCCAGAGGCCCAGGTGAACTGGAGGCCGGCCTGGCGACACCAAAGGTTCCAATGCCCAGGAAGTGGGAGGAGATGGGGGTGAGAGTGGGAAGGGGGGAAGAATATAGCTTCTGGATGACAGATCCAGCTACAGGGTTTATTAAAAGATGCTTATCAGAGGTCAT